TTTAATTTGTCAGATCAATGAATAATATCTGATATTGTTTATATTGTTTAACCGACCAAAAAAGAAATGAATTATTCCCGATTTAGTTAAAATAATGCACAAATTAGATTAGTATAAAATACACTGTACATTTAAATTGCTTATATCATTTGGTTTTTTCCAATAAAATTAATAATATATGTGTTACAGATGATACAGTCTTTTTTTGGAAAAACGTGAGTTTTTCCGTTAATTGATTTACAATGATGGGTCGTGTGAGAATTAAATAATGAAGGACCCATTCAAGAAGCGGCAAGTAACTTTTTTTAGAAAAAACATTTTTACGCCTAATATTGATTTAAAGAAAGAATTTTCAACTAGATAATTAATTCCTCATGATGATGACGTGGTTAAAGAACTTTTTATTTTGATTACCATACAAATAAAAAATCATGAACATCCTGATAGATTTGTTAATTTGTTTAATTTTTAATTGAACGTTCCCAACCAATCAGATTGGCAATTGATTCTATTTGTTATGGTCACGCTAGAGTCAGGCTACATCGTACAAACCAATAACTTCTAACCAAATATTTATTATCTATACATTATCTAAAAAATATGATTGGTTTCAATAAAGGGGAAGGTTGACACTATTTAAAAACGCCGAGCATTTTACGCCAGATTTTGACATCATTTTCAAAACTCTAATAAGGATTTAAAATAAATAAAATAGATGTTTCACCTATTTCCCAAAATTTTCGAATTGGAATGTTCATTAAATTTTTATTTGTAACATGGACTTAATTACGTACAAGAAATTTCGGAAAAAGGTATAAATTACATTTTTAGTAAATTTGGACTATCTAGTACTATCTAGTGTGACCCATGACCTGCAGAAAAAAATTTATAATTTCGGCATTGGATCATCAACGGATAATTTATGAGATGAACCTGCAATGTGGTTTTTCAGATAATCTACACACATATTTCCAAAATGAATTTTGGCGCCAAAAAAAAAATAAATAACTTTTTTCCACGGATTCCTTTTTAGGGAAATATTATTCCGTAGAGAGAAAACAGGCAATTAATGAGATAACATAATTTGTAATTGGGTAATTTTTCCGTTATTATACCATTAAAAAGAATAATGGATAAAGCCCAAATATTGTTCCTATTATTTTAGTAAGTTTTGTATTGTTAAACATAATGGTAAATTTTTGTTGGTTTACCCCTTGATATGTCAGATTGGCGTTGGAATATTAAAAAAAATGGGTGTGACGAAATTTATTTTTTTTTTACTAAATATGCAAGGAAATTTTTTTTTTGAAAGTTTGATTGGATAATTCACGTTCACAAAAATGATTGACGGTATAAAACGGAAAAATAAGATCGTTGACAAAAACACCGATTTTTTTTTTTAATTAAATCGGTTATTTGTAATTTTTTTTTTTTATTATTATCATCCCATTTACCCCACCTAATCACAAGGAACACAACAATTGAAGATAATTAGCGCCCAGAGCACAAACAAAACAACAAAACAACAATGTATCGGATGACGGACAAATGATACATGTATCTCAGTAAAAATCAAGCTCCGATTTTTGCCATATTTGGTTTGACGCTATTTACATTATTTGTTAATGCACATTTGAATTTTAAATACTTGCCGTTATGTTTGCCATGTAAGTAATTATGTAAGTAGGGGTTAAATTCATTTATATATTTTTTTTATCGGGTAAAAAGTAGTTGTTGTATAGAACATTGTTTGTTTGCTGCATTTACCATGCCATTGATATTCCCAAATCGTATAACGGGAGTCGGAAAATTTTTTTTCGTAAAATTTTATTTTTGAGGATTTTATCATTCCTGCTTTAAAGAAAAAGTACCCAATGTCCCATGGAAACGTTGTTACGGGATGACATGTACGACTCATTCGTCAACTTTTTTGTTAAAGTTTACTATTAGTCCGAAACAAGTATTACCAGGTCCCAGGAAAAATTTAAAACTTTAAACTTATGTTTACTTTACTTTGGGAATTTCCCCAAGATGTCACAAACGTGGCGCAGCCACGATTCTAATTTTGGGAATTGTTTTGATCATTAATGGGAACTAGGTAAATATTTGAAATATATATTTGTCTCACCTTACACTACCTTTTGTATTTCATCTTTGGTCTTTTTATTTGACGAATTTTTTGTTTACTTCTTTTTTCACACTTTGATTTTTTTTAAAAAAATTCTTTACATATTTCATTTTTTTTTCGTCATTCGCTGGTTCATTCCCAGTTTTTTATGCTCTTCTACTCTAAATTTCTCTGGGAGCTTTTTACGGGATTTAGCGGTACAAAAAGCCTCACCTTTTTTCCCTTAAATTAATTTGTAATGAATGAAATAATTTAAACCCTTCCTTTTCCTTTACTAATGAACATTCATTTCATATTATAGAATTTATTTTTCTCCTTTTATAATGAATAGGACGAAAGTTACGGTGGCATGCCGAGCATGTCAAAAGAAGAAGGTAAAATGTACGGGAGTTTCTCCTTGTTCGAATTGCCTCAAGACCAATCTTCGATGCGAGTTTACCGGGACCGCAAAGAAACGTGGTCCACGCAATGGTAATGTCGAGGTGATCAAAAGTTCTGCTCGTAGGATCGAATATGTGATGCGAAAGAACCCGAATCTGAGAGATCAAATTAATCATATGTTGGCACATAGCAACGCTCGTCCTGATGCTCGTTCGGCGAGACCTTCCTCAGTCATTCCCCATGACGTACCCATAGTCTTAGTAGAAGATGATAGTGGAATCACTACGGACGCTTCTCAATCTCACGGAATTCCACCTTCAATTAGGCGCACCTCTCTTCCCTCCAATTCAATTCCGCCTATGCAAGAATATTTTTCGCCGGATGAACATGGTAGGGTCTTGTTCAATAAAATAAAAAAAAAGTAAAAATTTCCACTTCAAAAAATTTTAAATTTTAATTCTTTTTCCTTCTATCCGCGATGAATTTTAGTTTCACATCCTTCCTACAATCCCGAGATAATCAATTTACCCCAGCCGCAGTCACCTGCCTTGCTAAAACCCGTTCCTGTGTATCCTATGCGAAATCACGTGGCAAATGAACGACAATCTGAGGACAATTATTCGAGACCTAATCCTACGTACCTTGGATCAAATTTTGTTCCTATCCCCCCAATGGAAACTTTACAAACAAGCACAGATCGTATGAAATTACCGATGCCCAACCTTATCGCTTGTAAAAAAAGGTCAACACCTATGCCAATTGTCATTACCTCTTCCGGCATTGAAGTCTTGCTACCTCCAGCACCGGATTTGGAAAATCCTCTTTCACCTCCGCCCTCCAATCAAAATCAAAATCAATATCCAATTGATTTACCTCCATTGGCTCTTTCAGTTCCTTATTGTAATAAATCATATCCTGATATGAATACACCTCCAATGTCGACTGTTCCTTTGCCATCGCCGTCATCTTCTTCAGATCTTTATAATATGACTTTTGAGAAGTCTCAAGAAGATTCGTGTCCTCCAACTCCGCCAAACTCCTTGTCTCCACCATTGTCTCCTCGTGATACTTACCTACATGTCGAGCGTCCAATGACATGGATGAATAAGAAATATTCGTTCAACTATTCACAACAATTATAAATAAATTGAACACTTGAAAATGGAAGAAATTATTTTTATAACGATTTACGTATAGCTATCTTTATTTAAAGAAACCGAACATTAGCGAACTATCAACGATTATCATGATTTAAAAAACACCCCCCCCGGTATTACACGATTCTATCGTAATTTTATTTATTGTAACGACTTATTTATTTTTTTTTTACTTTCCCTATTTTTCTATAATGCCTCCTCCCACAAGTATGATAAGTTTTCACTTTTTTTTTTTTGTTTTTTTTTTTTTTAAAAAAAAAAAAAAAAAAATCAACAAAATCTTGCATTAAGCTAAGAAAAAATACACATTTTTAAAAGTAAATATATCGACTAGAATTAATTTAAATAGAAATTTCATACATTTTTTTTTATATGCTTTATAAACTTCCTAATTACCTAATTTATATGTATTCCTTTTTTTTTTTTTAAAAAAAAAAATAATAATTATTTATACGTAGTTTTACTAAATGTCCGGATACTTTGCGCATTAGAATTATTTAATTTTAGATTTCGAAGAATTATTTTTTTTTATATATATAGATATTTATTTCTCCTTTATAACATAAGTTATAAACAAATTATGTTTACCGCGTATCAATGCTTATATAATTCTGTACATATTCGTCCTTTTTTTTTTTAATATATGTATATATATTACTTGGGAATCTTAGAATTCGCGTGAGAGGCATAGCCTTTCTTTATACGATCGATTTAATTTATTTTAGAGAAAAGCATACAAATGATGATATTTATGAATTGGATTTTTTTTTTTTTTTAATGTTTTTTTTAGAATATATAGATAAAACGAAGAAAGATGATAAGTAATTTATGAAGAAAAGAAATTATTTTGGCAAAATAAAATTTGAAATTTATTTAAAATTATGACAAAAAATTGGATTGTTTGTTGATAATCTTTTATTTTTTTCCCATTAAAAATTATCTGAAAATAGAAACTATTATTATTAATTGTAATTGAAATACTAAAACTTAATCTTGTTTTTCTAAAACGAAATACAGTTCCTTTAACTTGTGATTTTTTCAAAACTCTTTGGATGAATCGATCGAATTTCCTGTCGAAATGTTTAAAGATTGAGATGCTCTTTTGATTACATATTATTTAAAAATGTGTGTAACGCGAATTCCAGTAATCTCTTTGTTACTTATATGGGGAGAAAGAAACCTTAAAAAAAGATCTTGGATCCATAAATTTAATTTGAGCAAATAAGGAAAATTCTGCGGATAAGATTGAAATCGATCTGATGTTTCAGGTTTTTGTCGACCAAATATTCATCATGTTTTTTTTTTGGTCTTCTCGATTAGCCAATTAAAAGATTTCAACTAACTGGAACAGGAACCCATTGTTCTCGGATATATATTGTATAGGTTTTGCATTTTCTTAATGGTTCGGTGCCCATGCACATCTTTACAGATTTTGTATCTTGGTCTACGGTTTCTAGATGCAAATTAAAATTTTTTGGATTAACCGGAACAGGATTAGGTGGCATATTTAACTTGTTTCGAACGTGTTTTGTAGCACCTTGACCTTCTTTTAGATAAACCGATATGTTTCAAATCAAACAATTCAACCCTTTGTTTATTTATTCTTGATATATCTTACTGAACGTGCGACAAGAAAAGTATTATTGTCTTGCTTAATTGGGAAATTTATGACAACCGTGTGATAAGTAGAAACGATAAGGAGGTTGAACAAAGAAAGTAAAGCATGTAAATTATAGTTTTCATATTCCACTTCTTTAGATCTTTAGATCTGGACGGTGATCAACCATCTTTGTTCACCTTTGCGTTCAAAACTTTCTCAAGCCTTGAAACTTGAAAGTAAATCACGCCATACTAAACCAACCATTCATCATCCTTTTAAAGAAAAAATTTTTTTTTTTTGCTTCTGTTATATTAAGGAATTTTTCTTTTATCAATGGTTACAATGAACGAGTAAAATATCAGTGTAGACTCGACCTTCTTCTTGTTCTCCTCCAATGAAATGTTTTCGCGACATTGGATGATCCTCTGGTCTCCTATTTTATTTTCTACATAAAATCAAGGATGTAGAAATTACATTGCGTCACAAAAAAACACAAAAAAAACATAGTCAGTTCATTACGTAATGGATCGTGATAATCAAATTAGATCAAATTTATCCTTTTAAATCATTCTCGTGATCTACCGAAATTATATAAATGGTTTTCTCAAATCTTTTCTTATTCTTTTAAAAATGATTTTAAAAGATATTTTAAGAAATATTTCAATAATAGTAAACTCTTCAAATGCAAATGTTCAACCTATAATTGATTCGATTGAAAAATTCATTACAACACAAGAATTTACCGCAGAACAACATAAAGCTGACAAAATTGAAAAAATTTCTTCCGAATTACATCAGTTGTACATTGCGATAGAAGATTTTCCTAATAAATTTTGTAGTTTTTTAAAATGTTTAAGAGCATTATTACCTATATTAGGACCCGATATTATTATATCAGATTGGTGGGATAATGTATTACTTAATGTGCTACAATCACCTTTACAACCAAAAGAGATTGTTGAACAAGTAAAGGAAATAGTTCAAGATGTTTTAGTATGTGAAACTGATAAAGTTTTGGAATTTAGAAAGGATATACTCGTTTTATATTTAAAAGAATCTAATTTGGTGGGAAAGGCTGCTGGAGGGGAGGAAGGTATCGTTGGGGAACAAGTTCATGCATTCTGGTGTCGTAATTTAGATAGTGTATTAAGGGGATTTGGTGCTGTTAAAACCAAGGTAATTAGATCAAGTAAAACCATTTTCTTATGTTTGTCAATGATTTTGCTTTTTTTTTTAAAAAAAAAAAAATTTTATTATTTTTTTTTTTCTTTCTTTAGGAATTTTTTATTTTATTAAATTCATATTTTATTCAAAGACTTTATAGGCTGCAAGTCTTAACACTATTTGGAGAATTCATCAGAAAACAGGTATTTTTTTATGATTGTATATGATCACTTTAAATTCTTTTATTTTTGTGACTAATCTTTTGTTTTTCATTTTTAAGAATTCACATATCCATCAAATCTTAGAAACTCCATTACTCGATTCGTTATTAACTTCACTTCAGGTAATTAAGTCAAATTATATATATATATTTTTTTTTCACAAAATTAATGAATCTTATGTTACCAAAAAAATTTTATAGCAAGACACGTCTACAACTTTACTTTCACTTTCGCTCACATCATTAATTATGTTACTGCCTCATATATGTACATCCGTTATTACTTACCTCCCAAGGCTATACATTATCTTCGTTAGGATTATATGTTGGGATAAACATAATGCAAGACTTATTGATTTCGAAGATGAAATTATAGGGAATGATGATGATGGACAAGAAACTTCAGGAGCAGTAAATGCCGTAAATTGGGAGCAATGTGGTATAATGAACTTTTAATGAAAGTGCTAATTTTTTTTTTTTATATTAACAAATCCTTAATCTTAATTCTATCTTTTCCAATAGATTCTTCTTTTGATAATGTGTCATCCAGTCCACCAAATTGTATGCATCTCTTTACGTTTTTGTATGGTATGTTTCCGTGCAATACCGTAAAATTTTTGAGGAACCCGACTGCGTGGTTCAAAGAAATGGAACAGGTCACTACAGTAGATGATGAGATCGATGATGAAATTATAAGAGCAAGAAGTTTGGTAATTAATACGAGAATAAGTGACAAAGTTTTTGAAGGGTTTTTTTCTAAACTTTGTATTAAATCTATTTTTTTTAGCCATTATTGCGACGGCATAAACTTCATCCAAGTCTTATAACGAGTGATGCCGAAAAGGAACTTTCTGATACATCAAGATGGATGAAACTCGAACCTGCTGATATAGTTGCCGAATATGTTAGCTATGATATGGAAAATGCTACTAAAAACTATGATTCAAATGAGTTGGAAGGTTTCACTAAAGTGTTGAAGGAAGCCGATACGACAGCATCTGAGGTGACAACTGAAAAGGCGAGACCTCTCTCACAAGCGATTTCTATGAAGGAAATTATGGAAGTTCATCAGGCTCTCAAAAGTGGTGCTGATATTGTCGTAGGAGATGATCCCTGGGTAATAGATTTGATCTATAGTTGGTTATTTTGTAATCATTCTCGGACACAATTTTTAAATAATGTTTTGATACGTTAGGCATCCAAGATCATATCATATTCGAATTCCCTCACTAGTAATCATCCTATTTCACCACCTGAGAATAACGCGCCACCATTGAAGCCGACAACAAACATACAAGCAAGTGTAGCATTTTTGCAACGTGAAATAATGCTTCTAAGGAATGAATTGAATTTTGAATTTTATCTCAAACAACAACACCTTCAACATATCGGCCGATTACACCGCGATCATGTGTTAGATAGTACAGTTGAAGCCGAAAGACAAAATTTATATAATACCTGTAGAACATTAAGATCACAGTTATCAAATACCCAAGCTGCATTTAATAGGCAAAGAACCGAAACTGCTCATATTAAAAAAAAACACGTTCAATGGGAGGATGAATTAAATGGAAAATTAAAAAAATATAGAGAAGAGAAAAAGGAGTGGAAAGGTGTTTTGGATAAAGTCGAACAGGAACTGAGAGAGGCCAAGGTAGGGAGTTTGTTGTGTATAATTTATAATATAGTGTATATACTTAAAAACAAATTATTTTCATTTCTTGTTTTAGCTTATAATAGATGTGCAAAATAAGCAGATTGAAGAGATAAGTGCAAAGTGAGTAATATCATGCTGTATCAGATTATATGACAGAATTTTCTTTTTAATAATTGTTACCTATTACATTAGGAATTTCTCGCTTGAAAATCAAATCATTTTACATGAGCCACAACTTCAGAAATTAACAGAATACGAACAAAGGATCGATCAGTTGACAAAACAGCTTATCCTATGGTAAATCAAAAAGAAATAAAAATCGTAATTCATAAATTTAATGAAATAATGGATTAATATAATAACTCATTATCATAGGGAAGCTGATACACGAAAATTCCAAGAGCAAAAAAGATTAATGGAATCTTTGGTAGGAAAATGGCATAAAATGGAAGTGATGTTGAAGGCTGGTGAACAGGAGATCAAACAGTTAAAATCCGTTATTAGGTGAGCAAGCTCTTCCCATGAATACTTCTAATCAAATTAAGTTACATTAATCACCCGTATTGTTTACTAGTTCACAATCTTTTACTATTGATGATTTGAAGATTAAATTGGAGTATTACAAGAACATCTCAGGAGGACCTGGAAATGCAATGGAAAAACAGGTAATGACATCAATGAAATGTTTTATTTATTTCCGATCATATTTTTTTTTGTTTGATTTGCTTTTATTAATTGTTTGATTTAATTTAATAATAGATAAGGATGTGGTCATTTGAAAGAGATAAGAGAGATAAGGAGTTTATAAAATTAGAAACTCGATTTGATCAAGTCAAAAAACAGAATGGAGAATTACAGGTATATCATATTTATCTGATGCGATTCTCTAATATTATTCCTTGCCAGATAATAATTATTATTTATATTTGGTCATTAGTCACGCGTTATTGAATTATTGGCTCAAATTGAATCACTTTCACCTAAAACGGTAGCGAAGGAGGAAACAATTACTGAAGAAGCTGATCATAATAATATCAATAAAAAGAACGATGATGATGAAAAAGAAATTACAAATGAGATTGCTAAGAATGTCAATGAAGAGCCTGAGACTATGAACGATATTTCATAATTGACATTAACATATTTAAATTCAAAACTACAGAAAAATTTTGCAATTTGTAAATGAGAGAAAAATTACACAAAAGTTATGAATATCATAACTCGTATGTAAAATTATATTCAAAATGTAATAAATGTAATAAATGTATCTGTACCAATTTGAAACCCAGCATTCACTGTAACTGGTTTATTCTGTAATTTGAAACCTAAAAATAAAAATGAACTGTAGGTGTATAGCAAGAAAGCTATGAAAAAAATAAAGGAAAAAGGCGTTATATAAAATATAAAGATTACACAGAACAACATCCGAATAATACTAATAAGCAAAACACCAGATGTAATGCTACTACCATTATGCTACCAAAAAAATGGAAAGAAATTTTTTTTTAAAATACCTACAAATTTCAAATAATTTTTTTTTATTATAATTTATATATAAAATTTTATTTACTTCTATATATTATCATTAACTATTAATTTTATCAAAAAAATAATTTAATAGATAATAACTTCAAAAAATAAAATTTATAATTAAATTTATAATTATATAAAATTATTAAGTTTTAAGATTATATTTATAATAAATATTTATATTTATAATAAAATAATAATAATTATAAGTTATTGGTTTTTTATCTATTATATATATTATTTATATACAAAATTTATATTAGTATAAATCATTTATATAAGTATTTATAATGGATAGATTTAAAAAAAGTATAATTCAGATATTTAAATAATTATTTAACTTTAGATAATTTGCAAATATTTGTAAATAAGTTATAATGTATTTATATTTGTTAATAAATTATGATATTCAGATATAATTATATTATAAATCATTAAATTTTTTTTTTTCATTAAATAATATATTTGATAATTTAGATTTAATTAAAAAAATATAAATAAATAAAAATATATATAAAAAAAAAAAAATAAAAAAAATTGAAAATTTAAAAAAAAATAAAATAATATTAGATAAAATATTAATTATTTAATATTTTTAGAATTTAAATTTTTAATTGCATTTTATAGATAAATAGATAAAAAGTTTAAAATTTATAAATAATGAATTTTAAAATTTTAAAATCATATTTAAAATTATCAATTTTAACTATACTTTATTAATTTAACATATCTCAAATTCGTTATAATGTTATAGCGAAGATTTTAAGAGATTTGATTGGCTAATTCAATATAATAAGAGTATTTTTATTATATTTGTTCAAAAAATTCGTTATATCAAGAGTTTACTATATTAAGAGTTGACTGTATATATTAATATTAGCTATAATTTACTTAGATTATTTAATTTTAAGTTAATTTATATTATAAATCATTATTTTAAATTAAAACTATTTAAATACATATTTAAGTTATAAATAAATTTATTTAATATTATTATTTTTATATTAACATATGTTAAATACTATTAATTTATTTAACAAAATTAAAGGATCTAATAAAAAAGATTATTATAATATTATATTTTTTTTAATTTTTTTATATTTGTTTTATTATTTTTATAAATTTTTATTATAAAATCTTAAAAATTATAATAATAAATAAATAATATTATATATTATTATTATTTTTAATTTATTATTTATGAGTTTTATTATTAAACTATTTTTAATTTAATAATCTATCTTTAAAAAATTATTAAATAATTAATATTTTAAAATAAAATAATAATATAAAATTAATTATATAAATAAAATTTAATAATTTAATAAGTTATTTAAATGTAAAAAAATAAAATTTAAAAAAATTGTATTAAAAAATCTGTAAAATTTAATAAATCTATATTAAAACTTGTAAAATCAATAAAATTATATTTCTTTTAAAAAATATTTAATTAATTAAATATATTTATTTATTTAAAAATTTAATGTAAATATTTAATATTCAAGATATTAATTTATATAATATAATTTTTATTATTATGAAATTGATCTTTTAGTTTTTTTTAATATTTAATATATTATAAATACTTTTTAAAATTCTAAAAGTACAAATAAAAGCTTAAAAATTTTTTAACTATTTGTAAATTAATTATTTGTTTATTTCAAATTCATTTTTTATATAGATAATATTATTTTAAAAAATATATAATAGTATTTTTTTGTATTTTTATTTATTATATATAGTTATTTCCCTTTATAGTCACTTTCAAGATCAAAAATAAAGTGTAATTATAATAAAAGTGACTATATAAGAGAATTTTTATATATTGTTGTAAAGTGTTAGTTTTGAAAAGGTGTGAATATATAATATTATAATTATAAAGGAATTTTTTATATAATATTAATAGGTATTAGTTTTTACAAAATGTGTGCTTATAATGAGAGATTTATATGATATTAATGTATAAGGAGGTGATTATAGAAGGGAATAACTGTATTATTAAATGTAATATATTATTATCAAAAATAAGATATTTATTAAAAAATATATTTTTATTAATTAATATATTATTTATGTTTGATTTGTAACTTAAAATAATATTATTAAAGTTAAATAAAAATTATATAAGTAAGAATTTTTAATAATATTAAAGAAAATAAATATTAAATAACTTAAAAATATTTCAAAAATTACTTAGAACTCAATATAATATTATATGATAAGTTTATTAACAATTGTGAATAGGTTGTAAAGAATAAGTTTTTATACTTAGTTACATATACTTTTCTATTAATTGATAATAAAATTATCATCTTAAATTATTCATCTGATCAATATTAAAATTTAATAAAAATATAGAAGTTAAATAATTAATATAATATGCTAGGATTATCAAAAGTCAATGATTTATTAATTTAAATTAATTATTTTGAATTTTTATAATAAGTATATATTTTTATTTAAAAATTATAATCAAATCAATTATACACTACCTACAATAAATTATCAGATTTTTAAATTTACTTAGTAATATATAGTAAAATTGAAGATTTTCAAATTATATAAAAGTTTATGAATTTTTAATAAAATACATTTATTTAATAGCTAATCAATTATAATTTTAAAAATATAATTCAAAATATTTTATTTATTAAATGCCGAAAAATACTCATTTGTAAAGTAATAAATAAAATAATTTTATATATAAAAATGCAAAAAACATATAAAAATTGTTACTTATCTTCAAAATGAAAAAAGTTTTTCATGTTTTAATATCTAAAAACTATTGAAAATTAGTAAACATTTATGCAACCTGAAGATCTTCAATTTTTACTATAAATTACTAAATAAAATTTATAAAATCCGGTAATTTATTGTAGGGCAGTGTATATACTGTATATATATTTGCAATTATTTTAAAAATTTATTCAAATTGGAATACTAACTATAGGTTAATTGCAAAAGATTATAAAGGCATTTCTTTAAATGATGCAAAGAAATAATGATTAATAGTGTTCATCGTATTATAAATTTATGATGACTGTGAAAATTAAAAAAAAAAATGATTTAAAATTTTGAATTACATAAATAAAAAGAGAATTGATTCAAATTTGTATTATATATATTTTTGCATAACTTATTAAGTAAAACATTTAAATATTTTTATTTAATGTTTTTAATTAATGATAACGGTATTCTTGCTACCGGATTAGTGATATATAAGAATAATTTTTAAGATGGTTTGTAGTTTATTATTTTTTTTTTTAAAAAAAAAAATAATACATTAAAAAAAATAAAATATAATGCATATATACAATAAATGCTATATAACGTGTAATTTTTTGATTTTTAAAAGAAACAGATATAATATATCAAAAAAAAAAACAACTATATAAATATAATAATGAAAGTATTAGCAAACGAATTTTTCTTTAAAAAAGTTAATTTAAAGATTAAATTGTATATTACCTCTAAAAATCTATATTTTCTTTAATAGGAATTAAGTAGTGCTTTGGTTGCTAATTTAAAAAGAGCGCCCTTTCCCACTAGTAAATACTATAATTTATCAATATATGTCACCTTTAGACAGTCCATAAATGTTAAAATGCAAAGTCACCCTTAATCCCGCTAAGTTTCAATATCTTCATCAGTACTATCAAGTGATAAATATACAGTCTTTAATCTCATTAAGGTATCAATATCATTATCTAGAATTTGAGTAAAACTGTTCAAAATTTTATTTATTAGATTAGTTTCATTTTTGTGTTTAAGAAAAAAAAAATTCCAAAACGTCATTTTTAAATGGTAATCTACCAATTTTTGGAATTACCAAAAAAGGAAGGTCTAGGTTAATTTGCCTAGACTCGGGGTCTATAATTTCCACCGATCTGGAAATCATTGATCACCGTGAAAATCAGATAAATACAATACAAAATATTTTATTTACTATAATATATATTTACAACTCATAAATAAAAAAAAATTATCGACAAAATTGATTCAGATTCCGCTATCCACCAACTAAATTAGGCCGAGAATTTCTTCAACTACTAAATTATACCTACAATTGGGATTATTCTAATAAAATAAAATTTATTTATAAACAAAATGAATACTTTTTTGCGTCAAATGTTTTTAATAGAAATAAAAAAATTTTTTTTCTTACCTTTCGAACCTGTTTAATGTTTTTCCATTTTATCTCGCATTGATAGGGAGTAAATCTATTATTTGATAACTTAGATGCGACATTGTTCCAAAGATAACTTTTTCTAAAACGACTACCACCGCGTTTATCTGCTAGTTCTTTCAATATTTTTTTATTACCTTCTTCTTTCAATAAAGAGAGAAAGAGTTCAGTGTCGTTTCCGGTCCATTTACAGGGGGGTGCCTTTTGGGATGCATTTGGAGACGCTTTTGGAGTCGCTTTTGGAGGTGCTTTAGGAGGAAATAAAAAAATTTTTTAACGAATAGGCGGTTAATTCTTGATCTTATGATTTCCTTTTGCAGAACAGTTAAATGTTATCTATTAAAGTTAATATGCTCACCTCCATTACCGTTTAGAAAAACATTTGCAAGAGGGTTCGTCTCAAAATAATTTTCAGAAAATGGATGATAGTTATAATAAGTGTTATCCGATGAAAAAATGTCTAAAGTTGGAAAAATAGAAAAAATGTAAGGTGGAGTTTGAGCGTTACTGTTATAATGAATATTGACAGCTGGAACATAATAAGAAGTTTCGATTGAATCCATGGTAAAAATTGTGGATGATAAAATTTTCATTGATACTTATATATATATATTTTTTTAATGTGTAGATGATAAGATTTTTTTTATCTGTCAAGAATCAACGTAATCCGATTGAATGCGATTAATATTTGCTTCGTTTTGCTCATTTTGGACTTATTTGATATTGGCAAACAATTTTTTTTTTCTAGTATTCGATTTGGTCTTATGAAATTTGATTTGAAGAACAAAAACTTACGCTTTAATTAATCTACACATGAAAAACCATTCTTATTAATCAATTTGAAAGGATAATCCAAAGGATTAATCTATTGGATCAGATCATGATTATGCCTTGCATAGTCAAATGATCAAAATTCTTTCAATTCTTTACGGTTTCAACGAAAGCCAACTTAATAATGTCGATCTTTATCATTTTTAATCCAGCCCCTTATTATTTTAGGAAATAGGAAGGAAAAGAAAGGTTTTTATTACTATTTTTAAATTGCCATTTAAGTAACTTTTGGTTGGTTTTACAATTCCTTGATATTACGATTTACGGTTTTTTATAAAATTTTTCACATGGCTATAAATAAAAGGCGAATCTCAGGTTATTAGTATTACTCGTTTCGAGTTCATAAACACAATGAAAATTATTTTAATTTAAACATGATAATACTAACCACTTTTACTCAAAAATGAAGAAAAAAAAAAAGAATAAAGTAATTAAGGTTATATTAGGATACTTGAAGCCTAACGTTTATGAAAGAGAATCGAGGTTGCGACTTCTTCAAATGTACAAATTGGAATTTGAAAGAGATGAAAAGATAAGCTAAAGCACGCACGTGGTTTCGGTGGTTTTCTTACGGACATTTTATTATTATTGGCTCATGCAAAAAACGTTGTTGAAGGTTACAAAATAATAAAGTTCAAGTGCCGAAAAAAATTGCAATTGCATAATTTACTCTTTATTTATAGGGAGATAAAATTCGATGCTCTCACAACGTTTTGTGTCTGAATGCTACGTTACCAGTATGCACTTTGAATAATTTTTTTCTATAGATTTACTTTATCGAATTAATCTAAATTGATCTCGATTTTTCGAAAAAAAAAAAAAAAAAAAAACAAATTTCTTCTTTGTTCTCTTTGTTGTAAATTAATTGTTTTCCTTCTTATTTTATACTCGTTTTGAATTAGTTTGAAACCGAAAAGCAATCATTGTTCCAAATTAAGAGGAATATTTGTAATAGTGTAATAGTGTAACCTTGGATGGCTTAGTGTAGTTTAGAGATGTGCACATTACATTACTACGTTGCATACATCTTTATTCTTTTTCCATTTTTAGACATCTGAAAAAATTATTTATAAAATATTTTTTTTTTTTTTTTTAAAAAAAGAAACAAATATTAAATTTCGTGTTGTAAAGGGAGTGATTTAAAATTAAATAATCAAAAAAATATTTATATCTCCACTTTATCGTTCAGAGTTTAAAAGGGTTTTAACCATAAAGATGTATTGATTCCTAAAACGGACGTTTCGTAATTTAGGAGATAAAAAAAAAAAATTCCCTTTCCTTGCGTTAATACATATTGTGCACATTTAACTTTTTACACAATATTTCATCATAGTTTTGTTTTTATTATTTATTTTGCGAATTCGAAACGTTGTATTATTAAAAACATTATAACAACAAATATTTTCTGCGGCAAGAACATTCTACAAGAAAAAAATGTTTGCAACTTCACGATTCACACATGATCATGTTTTGGCGGATGAACGAAATTGGGAATTTGTAATGGGAACAAGAATGGATGATACATATTGTCAAGTGTTGATACTTTTGAAAGGATTCAAATCAATTTCTTTCATAAATAGGCGATTCAAACTATTAATATGATAATTATTTATTATTCAGCCTCCTTAATTATTATTATTATTTATTTATTTATTTTTTTTTTGACAAGAAACTAAAATAATCCACCTAAAAAAAAAAAAAAAAAATCTATATTCTAAATATGTTGTCAAAAAAAAAAACCCGATTTTAATGAATCCTGAAAAGGACCCTTCATTTAATTTTATGTTTCACAGATTATAAAAATTATTTGAACATCTATTAATCACAAATCGAGAGATATATAAAGTAAACAATTGTACATATATATATATATATTTTTTTCCCCTATTGAAAAATTTCTTTATCACCTCATTTTTTTTTTTTTTTTTTTTTTTTTTTTTTTTTTTTTTTTTTTTTTTTTTTTTTTTTTTTTTTTTTTTTATTTTTTT